ACAGGAAAGCAGGAACTCTGACACACTGTTACTGGGACTGCCACTGGCAAAATCTTTTGGAGGTTAAGATCTGGTAGCATCTGTCAGTAACTCTACAATCAGAAATCTATTCCTACAAACTGTATGTGAGGCGGTGCAGAACAGTACGTAAGAGCATGTGATGAAGTAACCTGGGCCCAAATTCCAGCTTTGCTACTGGCCAGTTCTATGGTCTGCTTCCTCATTTACAAAATGGAAACACCTTCTCAACACATTGTGAGGATTAAATACGGGACTCATGTGAAAGGCTTAGCATCGTGGCCAGTATATAGGAAATAGTTAACTTAGTAAATTCTCAGTTAAATCTATACATCCACAAAACACTTGCCATTTTGTACAAGGATATTTATTGTGTCATTGTTGGGTTTTTTTTTAAGATTTTATTTATTTATTTGACAGAGAAAGATAGCGAGAGCAGGAACACAAGCAGGAGGAGTGGGAGAGGGAGAAGCAGGCTTCCCGCCAAGCAGGGAGCCCGATGTGGGACTCGATCCCAGGACCCTGGGATCATGACCTGAGCCGAAGGCAGACGCTTAACGACTGAGCCACCCAGGTGCCCTGTGTCATTGTTTAAAATAACAAAAATGGTTGACTTATTTCACTAGTCAATCAGAGAAAGACATGTATCATATGACCTCACTGATATGAGGAATTCTTAATCTCAGGAAACAAAGTGAGGGTTGCTGGAGTGGGGGGTGGGGTGAGAGGGATGGGGTGGCTGGGTGATAGACACTGGGGAGGGTATGTGCTATGGTGAGCCCTCTGAATTGTGCAAGACTGTTGAATCACAGACCTGTACCTATGAAACAAATAATATATGTTAAAAAAAAAAAAAGAAGAAGAAGAAGATAGCAGGAGGGGAAGAATGAAGGGGGGGAAAGTGGAGGGGGAGATGAACCATGAGAGACGATGGACTCTGAAAAACAAACTGAGGGTTCTGGTGGGGAGGGGCGTGGGAGGATGGGTTAGCCTGGTGATGGGTATTAAAGAGGGCACATTCTGCATGGAGCACTGGGTGTTATGCACAAACAATGAATCATGGAACACTACATCAAAAATTAATGATGTAATGTATGGTGATTAACAATAAAAATTTTAAAAATAAAAAATAACAAAAATGGAAACTAGTATGATCCTTTATGTTTTTAAAAGATTTCATTTATATTTGTACATATATGTTTATACACGTAGGAAAAAGGACTGAACAGAGAAAACATGTCAAAGTGTCATATCTGGGGAGTCAGAGAGAACAGGGTTGTTTCTGCATAAAATTTTTACTGTGAACAGCATAAGTTGTTTTAACCTTTAGAAAGTAAAAAGTAAAAATAATAATAATAATAAAGAGGAAAAAATAAACATCAGTATAAATCTTAGGGAGAAAAAAGACAGTTAATCTTTTTTGTTTAAAGATTTATTTATTTATTTTAGAGGGAGTACTCAAGGAAGGGGAGGGGCAGAGGCAGAGTGAGAGAAAGAATCCCAAGCAGACTCCACGCTGAGCACAGAGCCCATATGCTGAGTACTGACCCTGACACGGGGCTCGATCCCCCAACCCCAAGATCATGACCTCAGCCAAAACCAAGAGGGGGACGCCCAGCCAAATGAGCCACCCTGGTGCCCCGACAGTTAATCTTTAGAAGCACACACAAATATTTCATAGAAACTTTTATTTTAATTTACTATACATATTTAAATTTTAGGAAGTTACTAGGCCGATGCACTTTCCTCTGTAGGTTTAGTTTGATCTTCAGTTACCTGTAAATACATGAATACTTTAATTTTCTAATAATAACCACTTTTAGTTTTACCCTTAGCCCACCATTTTAAATCATTCCACAGTCCTTCTCCTATAATGACCCTTGGTCTTTCTCCTTTATTAGTAATTATTATAGGAAGTTAAGCAGAAAAAGAAGAAAACGTACAAGGCCAGGTTCCCAATATAAATTATCAAGTAAAGTACAACAATTTCATTAAAAATATAATCTGAAGCATATAGCTAGGCTTCTCCAGTTTGTCATTTTATTTTTCAATTACAAAATGAAACCATTCATGTTAGAAAAATACCAGCAATGTTGTAACACAGTATCTTAAATCAACAGATTTTCTTGGGAGGTATAATTCTATTTTAAATATAGTATATTACAGGTTTAGCAGAAACAGGTATCTGTACATCCATATTTCTATTCTGTGACACTTAAAACACATCAAACAGCTATACTTACTCCTCACCACCCCGACACCCACCACACCTCCAGCATTATCTATCTCAGTGAAGGTCTCTACCCAGCTGTCCGCACCTGCCATTCGGGAATCCATGGTTCTCTTATGTGCATATTCAATCCACAGTCCTACTAATTCTACCCAAGTGGCTCTCACTGCCACACCTGAACTTGAGGATCTCACCACCTTCTATCCCTTTAACAGGACTGCTGGCTTAAGTCACAGCTTTCTTCCACGCTGCCCCAGAGTAAGCTTTTAAACATGAACAGCTGACCCATAGTTTACTTCCTTTTTCAGATTCCCCAGTGACCCCCAATCACCTCCAGGAGGGGAATGTAAATTCTGTATCATGGAAGACAAGCCCTTCATATGCTATTTCCAACAGACTTTGTTGAACTCATCACCCACCCTACATAAGACTGTACGTTCAGACCCATCTTATACTCATCACACTCTCCATTCCTCCACCCCTCTAGTCAAGCAGCTTCCTCTGAGACATCCACCAACCTCTCCCCAAGCAAATTATTTGCCGGGCCCACTTTAGTCATCCTCTCAAGCCGGCTTAAGCAACACCAATCCCTGGAAACCTTCTTTAACCAACCCGCCAGCTTGGTTTGGGTCCTTTGCTGTATGCCAGAACTCCACATGTACACCCAGCTGTCTGCTTCCAAGTCTAGTTATCCGTTAAAGTAACTTCCCTGAGGCCAGTAAGTAGGTTTTGTTCATTTCTGTACCTACAGCTCCTGGCACATAACAGACATCTGAATCAACGAACCATATATTTAACCTACTCCCTTCAAACAAACAAAATGGACAGAAGGAAACCGAACTAGAATAAATGTTGCAAAAAAGCTACTCACTGATTCGTATTATATACTCTAGGCTACTTCCTCTACTATTTTCCTACATTTATTATATACTCATTTCTTCTCTAGTTTCCTAATCTAAAATGATCATTATGGTGAAGGGGACTAAGAGCACACTAATAGTGATGAGCACTGAGAAATGTACAGAATTGATGAATCATTATATTGTACACCTGGAACTAATATAACACTGTGTGTTAGTCATACTTGAATATATAAATTAAAAATAAATAATAAAATGATTGTGACCAAAGAGACAAAATTATTCTATCCATTCAAAAATACTTTCTTTTCATGAGAAAATTACATGTAATCTAGACTAAGTGCCTCAAAAATAAATTTTATCTGTAAATTCATTAATAAAGACTAGGTTTGTACATCATCATAAAAAATAATCAATAAATACTTACCAGCTAACCCATATACCAAAGGTTGGGCTCAAAATTTGGCATGACACATACATAATAATCCCTGAATGGGTTAACAGACTGAATGTAAATGTACTAGCAAAAACAACTGGAAAACCATATGAGGAGGTATATAATCAAGTGGAAATTGTAAGAATGGATATTTGTTCAGAGATTACTTTGCAAATGTTTCATGAGTACAGTAAGACTTGGATGAGGTACGGAAGAATGAGTAGGATGTATTCATTCATAGACAGGAGGAGAAACGGACACAGAGTCCAAACAGAAAAACTGCCATGAATAAACAAACTTGAAAATAAGTCTGAGTTAACAATGCTAATATCATATATTTGAAAGTTACTAAGAGAATAGATTTTAAAAGTTCTCACCACACACACACAGAATATGTAACTCTGTGAGGTGATGGATATGCTAACTAACCTTACTGTGGTAATTAGTTTGCAATACATACACATATCGAATCATTACAATGTACATCTTAAGCTTACACAACGTTATACGTCCATTATATCTCAGTAAAGCTGGGAAAAAATAAAGTGATATAAGACCGCAAACTAGGGGCACCTGGGTGGCTCAGTCGGTTAAGTGTCTGCCTTCAGCTCAGGTCATGATCCCAGGGTCCTGGGATCGAGCCCCACATCAGGCTGCCTGCTCAGTGGAGAGTCTGCTTCTCCCTCTCCCTCTGCCTGCCTCTCTGCCTACTTGTGCTCTCTCTCTCTCTCTCAAATAAATAAATAAATAAAATCTTTTTAAAAAAAAAAAGGAGAGAAAAGAAAAAGTTTGATGTACGTTTGCAAACTTGACTAGAGTAGAAAATTAGGATGACTAGGAAGGGTTCATGGCCAGATTAAATGGAACAGCTATCAGATAATGTAAGTAAAGGATGAGCACTTAGCCTATGAAAGAGTAAATAGGGATAAAATAAGTCAAGAAATATAATCATTCCTACTGGTGAAATCTAAATGCTAATGACACAGAATGAACTACAAAACACAAGTAACTTACTCAAATACTGTTTTTCAGGACATTTGCACATTTAATACGTCAACCAAAAGTCAAGGCATTTTTAAAATATATCTGACAAATCTTAATCTCTCAATGCTCATTTAGTTTACAAAAAAATTACCAAAGACCTAATTAACACCACTGGACCCACTAAGATCTATTACTACTATAAAGCAGTATTCTTCTTCTTCTTCAAGTTCCACAGTATCATTTCCATGATATTAACAAACAAAAACAGGAGAAAGGCCAAATTACAACTCTTCTCTTGCCAAGATACTACTGGGCTCACCAACTATAACACTGCTTTAGCTATTGAGACAATTAGTTACTTTTTTCTTTCATTCTCTTTTCTTCCCTTTTTTATTTATTGTTGTGTTGTTGCCTGATTCCAATAAAAATTTCTTCATGGAACAGTACTCATTAGCTGTCAAAAAACACTTACCATTTTCCGAGATCTTCCCAACAGCTTATCCCATATCGTAAAATGTGCCTTGAAAAGAAAAGATTCACTATGAATTAAATAAAGCAATAAAGTTAAAATAAAAGGAAATGAGTCTTATATAGGTTTTAAACAAAACAAATACATAAGAAGTCAGGCAGTACTAATGAGGCTAAGCAGTTACAAAAGTAGATTCGAGTAGGGGGAAAGGTACTTTACGGGACAGCTGCTTTGTTTGGCATGTAAGAAAAACTGACATTAAGCACTGAAAATGCCATTCTTCCTCTTCTGTCCTTCCTAATCATTACCATCACAGACAGCATTCCTTCTAATGGGAAGCAAAACTCTGCCCCACTTTCCCATGGGCTGCAGTTCTTTCCTTAAATAGCCATTTTCAACAAACTAGAAGTCATTCTTCAAATCACTAGCAATCACAAGGAGAGGTTCATCAAGAACCGATGGTGACCAATGGTGACATCTTCACGCTGAAATGGCAGTTCTAGAGGATTTAGCAAATTACCTAAAGAACAAGTAAAAACTAATGTAGAAAATAGTAAAATCATAGAACCAATTTACTTAATCCTTAAAAATTTTATATAGTTGGGGATTCTCAGAATGCACAGATGAAAACTGTGTAAAATGCATTAAGGACCGCATCAATTTTATTAAGTCATTTAAAGGTGATACTGAGGGATATGGGTGGGCCAGTGACTACATCACACTGAATGACCTGGTAAAATCTATGATAAAAGGTAAAATTACTATATGCACATGTAAGCCCTTCTGGAGAAAAGAGCAGTGCTGTATGTTTAAAAGGAAAACCACACCTGACTCCAGCAGAATGGACAGCTGGTGCAGACCCTACGGTGTGGCTGGAAGACAGTGGATGATGGAGAAAGTCGTGTGAGACGTCAGAGAGGCAGGCAGGGGCCAGATAATGTGGGGCTTTGTGAGACAAGATACAGGGTTGGGATTTTTATCAGAAGCCCCTGGAATGTTTAGGGCAAAGGAATTATGTGATCTGATTTGTATATGAAAAAGTCCTTTTGGCTACTAAGTAGGGAATGTGCTTCAGGGGGGCAGAGTGAAAGCGAGGAAGGGGTGAAGAGTAAGAGGGGCTTGGAAAGGGTGGTGGTAGCAGATGGGATGCTATGCAATGGAGGGACTCAGGGCATGTTTCAGAGTTAAGAGTTTAAATGCCTTGATGATGAATGGGGTGGAGTATGGATGGGAGGGAAACAGAATCAAGGATTACCTCACAGCTAAGTAGATGATGGTGTCATTTACTGAAATGCAGAAAGCTAGGAAAGGAAACAGGTATGTGGAGAAAAATCAAACATGTCAAGGACAAATGCTAAAAGTACAAAATGTTGATGAATGAGATGAAGGATTTAAATAAAAGATATACTTGAATATATAAGACTAGAAGATACAATTTAGTAAAGATGCCAATTCTCCCCAAATTTATATATAGGTTTAATACAATTCCTATCAAAGTCCCAGTAAGACTTGTCAATACAGAAAGATTATCCTAAAATTAAATGAAAAGGCAAAGGACCTAAAATAATTTAAGCAATTTTTTAAAATAATAACATGGGATGAATTATTCTACCTGATTTCAAGAACTGTTTACTGTTACAGTAATCAAGACTGTGATAAAAGCAGAAGGACAGACACACAAATCAATGGAACAGAATAGAGAACCCAGAAATAGAACCATACAGATATGGTTTTTAAAATGATTTTTAATAAGGGTACAAAAGCAACTTAATGGAGGAAGGACAGCCTCTTTAACAAATGATGCTGGAGCAATTTGACATGTATAGGCAAGAAAAATGAACTGCAACCTAAATCTCACACCTTATACAGAACTTAGCACAAAGTGGACCACAGACTGAAATATAAAACTATAAAACTATGAAACTTTTTTGGGGGGGGGAGGGAAAAAATCTTTGGGATCTAGGTCCAGGCCAAGAATTACTTGAATTAACACCAAAAACATGATCCATAAACAGAAAAACTGATAAACTGGACTTCATCAAAATTAAAAACTTCTGATCTGCAAAACTTCTGATCTTTTATTAAGAGGATGAAAAGACAAACTACTGACAGAGAGAAAATATATGTGAACTACATACTTAACAAAAGACTAGTAGCCAGAATACACTAGGAAAAAAACTCTCAAAATTCAACAGTAAAAAAAAAACAAACAATCCAATTTAGAACATAAGCAAAAAACATAAACAGACTTTTGCCAAAAAAGATATACAAATGGCAAATAAACACATGGAAAGATGTTCAACACAATTAGCCAATAGGAAAATGCAAATTAAAACTACAGTGAGAAATCACTACAAGCCTATCATAATGGCTAAAAATAGTGACAATGTCAAATGCTGGCAATGATCAAAAAACTGATTACTCACACATTGCTGGTGGGAAATGGTACAGTCACTCTGGAAATCGGTTTGATAGTTTCTTAAAAAACTAAGTATGTGCCTACCGTATGACCCAGCAATTGTACTCATGGGCATTTATCCCAGAGAAATGAAAACATATATTCACAAAAGCCTATACACAAATGTTCACAGCAGCTTTATCCATAATAGCCAAAAAACTACAAACAACCCAAATATCCTTTAACGGGTGAATGGTTAAACAATACACAGTAGGTCCATACCACAGAATACTACACAGCAATAAAAAAGAACCAACTATTGATATACACAACAACTTCGATGAATCCTCAGAGAATTATGCTGAGAGAAAAAAGCCAATCCCCAAAGATTACATAATGTATGATCCCATTCATGACATTCTTGAAATGAAAATTTGTAGGAGCAGAGAACAGACTAGTAGTTGCCAGGGGTAAGGAGGTGGGGGTGGGGCAGAGGAGAGTGGATGTACCTATAAAGGGCCAACAGGTGAGAGCCTTATAAAGAAATTGTACTACATCCTCATTATGTCAATGTCCATACTCTGGCTGTGAAATCTACACAGATTTTGAATTATCTGAAAATCCAAAGTTGAATTTAAAAAAAAAGCATTAACGAGGGGTGGGAACAATATGGAAAATAACAGACTCTGGGTCATGAATAGATTAGGAAAATTAGGGAGAAGAGCCTGCCAAACCTAAATTCAAAAGACTTCCAGAAGGGCTTACCAATATGCACTCCAATAATCCTCAATGCACCCTCCTCCCCTATACTAATTTGAAAAATTAAAATTACTATCTGAGTCTGATTCAACTTTTTCAACTAAATCAGTTTACATTCCGGGGAAAATTATTTTTATCATAAACCTGAATTTACAAAGTATTAGTGTCACACAACTTAAATGAAAATTAAAATGTATGTCCTTCAAATTGGTATAAATCAAGACCAGAATCACACCCACGCCCAAACTGGATGTCCTGAAACTTTAAGCTTTACTTACTCTTAAGTGTACAGGTAAAGACAGACCCTGGAATCTTCGTACAAGACTCAACGGCGTGGCTTGAAGATTGTGAACCGCTGACACTTCATACTGGAAACAAATACTTGTTCTTGGAATAAGAGGACCCTCAGTCACATCAATGAAGTCACCAAATCTGATTTGATTTTAAAAACAAACAAATAAAACCTCAAAATCAAACCATTTACAGTAGTTTGGAAAAAAATCTATTAATTCTCTTTGGGACAATGTCCCTAATCAACAACATTCCATGTGGCTCTATTCAGTCTCTACTGCTCCTGACACAACAACCTCAAGTGAAGAGGCTAAAACTATGAAAATTAAAGTCAAGTGAACCTTGTTCTTTATTAGCATTGATAAAACTTTAGAGAGATTATTAAGATCACTGAACACATCATGCTATCGAGTGAATCCAATGTCTAAAACTGATCACCTACAACCTTATAACAACTCATTGTAATAGAGTTAGGAACTCAGTGTATACGACAGATTGTCCAAAGAGCAGCTTTGGAGAAGAAAAAAACTTAACTCTGAATCAAGAAAACATGAGGCTGAGAAAAAAGATACAGGTCATGGAGTCACTTCTGCATATGCATTATGCATTGTCATACCTCCCTCATCCCTGTATCAGAAAGCACATTCCTATGCTACTTACTTATATGTAACGTAAGTAGTAATTAGTCAGTATTCATATTTGTACATACACATGAATTATGTTCAATTCATAGCAATGCATATTTTGCCCACTTTCAAAATTAACTTAAACAATGGTTTTCAACTCTTGAAATGCAGAAATAAAAATAACAAACAATAAAATGAGGAACAGAAAACACAACTGCTCCTGAAGATAATTTAAATCTTCCAGTTACCACCATACCAAAACAATGAACAAAGCAACAGAAAATAAGGTAATAAGAATAACAAATTAGGGTACAAATTCATCTTTTTCAGTCATACACTACATCCGGGTAACAATAAAGCTAAGTCTTCCTATAAATTAGCATGACAGCCAATTTATTTTTACTTACCTGTGTAGCTTAACTATTCTCTCAGGGTTCTGAGATGCCTTCTCTTCTATGAAATCCGTTTTGTACCTAAAAAGCAGCAAAGAAAAAAAAGTTTTACTTCTAAATACACAAAAAGGAGTTTAAGGGCCCCTCCCTTTCTCTTCCTCTTTAGCCATAGTTTTTTTTTTTTTGTTTTTTTTTTAAGATTTTTTATTTATTTATTAGAGAGAGAGAATGAGAGACAGAGAGCATGAGAGGGAGGAGGGTCAGAGGGAGAAGCAGACTCCCTGCCGAGCAGGGAGCCTGATGCGGGACTCGATCCCAGGACTCCAGGATCATGACCTGAGCCGAAGGCAGTCACTTAACCAACTGAGCCACCCAGGCGCCCCTTTAGCCATAGTTTTTTAAAGAGGGGTTTACCCTTGGAGCCTCCCCTTCATGCCTCATGTCCTTCAGTCCGGCCACAGCCTCACAACTCCACCAAACTGTTCTCCCCAAAGCCCTAGGCACCTCCCTGGTTTGAACATAACGGACACCTTCCTGTCCTTATTTCCACTGCTCACCCCCGTCTCTCCAAGTGGTCTCTTCCACCGGCTTCCTTGACACTCCCTACTGCTTGTTATTTTACCTCTCTGGCCACTCTTCCCCTTCTCCACCCTCTGGGGGACCTGTCCTACAGCCTCTTTTCACCAAACATCCTCCCTGGGCTAGCTCCTTGACATGCACAGCTTTAATTCCCACTTCTGCGTTCCTCTCTTTCACAGTTCAGCTTCTAATCCACATCCCCCTTCTGAGCCCTGAAATAAGACCCTCCTGAACATCTACTAGACTGTTCCACAAGTATCTTACACTCTGCAACTCTCAAACAGAACAAAAACTTACTCCTTCTTTTCCCACCAAATGTATTCTTATTCCTGAGTTTCCTAGCTTAGTAAATGACACCGCCAACCACCCACATGTCTGAGTGAGAAACTTCATAGATTTCCTTGATTCCTGCTTCTCCTGCCACACCCCCTCCATCCAATTCATTGCCAAGTCACGTCAATTCTACTGCCTAAATGTTTCTCAAACCCACCCAATCCTGTCACTACAGCTAATAGCACAGATGGAACTGCACAGCCCAGGCTCCAATCATAACTTTACCACTCACTACTAAGAGCCCTGTCTCTTTACCCCAAAGCTAAACAAATATTAGGTGGGTGTATGGCAAGGTTGGGAAGCATTCGTTCACAGGACAACATCTACTTACTGCCACACCCCTTCTGCCAAAGCTCCCCATACATTTTTTTTAAACATTTTATTTATTTATTTGACAGAGAGACACAGCGAGAGAGGGAACACAAGCAGGGGGAGTGGGAGAGGGAGAAGCAGGCCTCCCGCGGAGCAGGGAGCCCAACGTGGGGCTCGATCCCAGGACCCTGGGGTCATGACCTGAGCTGAAGGCAGACGCTTAACAACTGAGCCACCCAGGCGCCCCAACCCCCCATACATTATTAAGGGAGCCAGTTCCCTTAAATATTTGTCCCTCTTGACCCACCTCTAAGAGATGTACCTGTCCCCTGGGAGTCAAAGCCACTTAAGGCTCCCCCTGCAGCAGAAAGGCCCAATCACTGATCTACCTTCAACCATCCAAAATTCTCTGTCCCCTCAAACTTGCCCCAAACCATCCCTACACCTCCTTCCATACATTCAATTAACTTTCCTACAAGCCCTCCTAGACCTGGAAAGTGGGGTGGAGGGGTGGGAAATCTCATGGAATGAACATCTAGAGTACACTATGGTAGCTACGGGGCACTTAAATGTAATTAGCCCTAACTGAAATGTGCCTTAAGAGCACAGATTCTGAAGACTTAGCATGAAAAACTATAAAGTAACAACAATTTTGTAATATTGGTTACATGCTGAAATAACATTTTAGATACACTGTTTAAATAAAATGTATTATTAAAATTAACTTCACCTTTTCTTTTGACTTTTTTAATGTAGCTACTAGAAAATCTAGTTATATAGATGGCTTCCATTGTATCTCTTGGATAGCACAACCCCAGAATTGTAGCACAGGAAGTGTGTTGATATGTTCCAATAATACAAGGAATTTTCTTACAGAATCAACAGTGGTTTGGTTCTACAGAACTATCTGCAGTCCAGTTCAGTTAAACTAGTACATTCCTACTGCTTTCTAAGTACACTGGTTCCAGGATATGTGAAATATTATAAACTATCCCTATGAGAACTTATATTTCAATTTATAAATACCTAAAGAAATTCCGATCCATAACCTTGAACAATTTGCAGGGACTTATTCTGTCTTCAGAATCTAGTATCTATGTTATTTTTTTGCAATGCAGATTTCCCTACTTAGTTCTAATTTCAATTAGATTAATATTAAAATATAGCTTATTTTGTTACAATTAGAAGAAGTGAGAAAGGGAACTGAGGACCCAGGGAGGATTTAAAATGTTGGCAAAGAAAATCCACCAGATGGATACTTCTGGTGCAGAAGACTAAGCCCTGGCTGTGTGAATGTTTTATTTTGGCGGTTAGCTCCCTCCAGAGCACTGGTATTCTCCATCTCACTCCTGTCATTTCAAGAGTAGGAGGGTGAGAAGGAAAGCCTGCCCAATGAACAAAATAATACAGCTCCGTGTACGCTATCACCTGATGATGGGAGGAAAAAGGGGAAACACACCTTGGGGTTGCTGTGAACTAAAGGACTTCTCTGGCCAAAGAAACAGAGAAGTAAGACAAACTGAGAGAATTATCGAAGGTGGGGGGAGGTTTTTTCTCTGTGAAATAAATGATGAACCAAAGTAAATAGGCTAGTACAGAAAAAGAGATCTTAGATACATCAGATATAAAGATTCTTAAGAGCTGAATTTTCTTCATTACATATAACTTTGGGAGGTTGAATCTCATTTCCAAGGAAGCCAACACTTACTTGTTGTGCTGAAATATTTCTAATGCCACTTTTGCTTCCACTTCCAGAGTTTCAAATGGAAGATCTTTATAAATTAAAGTGTGAGCATCTTTCGTGAGGGAACGGAGGTTCTCCTTCAAAATAAAAGTATTAACTTTTTGTAACAATTGATTTAAAAGCCTTTCTCCATAAGGCAGATAACATTGTATGCTAAATATTATAAATCCAACTAAAAGAAAAAGCAAAAGCAAATCTGTTAGGAAAGAAAGTTATTAATTTATAACAATTAAATATTTAGACCTTAAAAGGTAGGGTTAGCAATTTATCTCAACTCTACAAACTATGAAACTTGTAATTTACTTGTAATTAAGATATTAGCCTATAATTATTAAAGATAATCCTACAAAGAAATCTTAATAAACATTTTATCCAAATTTTACAACCTTATAGTTTATTAAAACATGATGCAATTAAAAATGCTAATAAAGCGGTGCCTGGGTGGCTCAGTCGTTAAGCGTCTGCCTTCGGCTCAGGTCGTGATCCCAGGGTCCTGGAATCAAGCCCCACGTCGAGCTCCCTGCTCCGCAGGAGGCCTGCTTCTCCCTCTACCAGTCCCCTTGCTTGTGTTCCCTCTCTCTATGTCTCTCTCTGTCAACTAAATAAATAAAATCTTAAAAAAAAAAATGCTAATAAAAAGAAAGATACAAAAATGTGCTTACATTGTGAGTGAAACTAAGCTTTTTTAAATGAACAGGGAAAAAAATTATTGTTTATGTCATTCAGAACGTTTACCAAGGAAACGTAATGTCATCATTGGCCCTGCCCAAAATACATCTAATATTAAAAATTCCTGTTTAATGAAAAGTCATTTTTATGCAATTAAAATGATTGATTAGTACATATTAACAATATTTATGAGACTTCTAATAAAAACTGTAATTGAGTTTTCATATTATAAATCATTACTAATACAGAAAAGACCAAGCACTGTTACGCAAGTAATTTTTGTAATAAAATTCTTTCCATAAGCTTCCTATTAGATTTTTTTTTGCATGAAATGACTCTTCTCCATTCTTAAAGGGACAATTTATTATATAACAAATCCACATTCATGATTTTATACAACTGTTACTTGAATATAACTCTCCACCACTTTTTCTAAATGGTCCACCCAACCCCATGGTGCCCGCAATTAGCTAGTACATTTCTTTTTTATTTAAAGTTTTGTATTTAGGGCGCCTGGGTGGCTCAGTCGTTAAGCGTCTGCCTTCAGCTCAGGTCATGATCCCGGGTCCTGGGACCGAGCCCCGCATCGGGCTTCCTGCTCGGCCGGAAGCCTGCTTGTCCCTCTCCCGCTCCCCCAGCTTGTGTTCCCTCTCTCCTGTCTCTCTCTCTGTCAAATAAATAAATAAAATCTTAAAAAAAAAAAAATAAAGTTTTGTGTTTAAAAAAAGGAAAAGGAGGCAGCAAGTTTCATAGATAATGAGAACTGAATCTTGATCTTATTAGTTTTTACTTAAATCCCCCAACAAAGCGAGAATCCTTTCTTAAATCTGAGGGCATATCTGAAAAAGAACTTATACTGACATGAGTTCAGAGATCACTAAGAAAGAGTTCCAATACCTTCCCTGCATCCCTCTCCCCTCTCTCCCTCTCTCTCTGTTCCTTCCTCTTTCCCTCCTCTCTCCTGATATTAAGCAATTTGAGCAGGATTATACAAGAAATAACTTCCAAAACCAGAATTTAAACCTGGATCTGTACTGACTCCAAAATTTTGCAATAAGGAACTACAGTATTTCACTAAATCGAAAATGTACCACTAAGGAAAAAACACTACCAATTATAACATGCTATCTACTGTAAGACACATTTTTTTTCAGAGACATTAAAATGTGAAAAAAAATGTACACAGTAGCATTGATAAAATGGTCTGGTACATCACCTTTCCTTTTCTGATCTCCAGACTTCCAATCTGTAGGACATACAGTTTTGCTTAAGAATCAGGCATTTGCCTCTTCTCCCCAGTGATAACTGAATTTCTAGGCTTGACATTTGAAAGTCATCAGCACACCCTCCTGACAGGGCATCGGATCTAGAACTTCCTTGTTAGCCAGGTGTTACCCAATTGCCAGACCAACAAGAAGAACACTTACTACTCAATCAGATCGTTCACCAAGAGTCTAGTTTGTTGCTATTTGAGTTAGCTTTGTCAAAGTCTGATTCTTAATTCACTCTATCCTCTACCCTCTATCCCTCCTCTCAAGGTAAGCTTTGTATATAGGGAGACCTCACAGTATGCAACAGGCTAAAATGGTTTAGGGCAGTGGTTTTCAAATTGTGCTCAGAGGATCCAAGAAAGTAAGGCTCCAGGCTCGCACCACCACATCAACCAAGATGATTAAGCTTCTATATTTTATATTCTGGGCATCTTGAAAACCACTATCTTAAGAAATAGAATGAACAGTACCAGGAAGAAAGTACTTCAAGCAGAACACAAAGCTTCCATACAACTGACCACATTGTGAATATGCCCATTATCTGCCTCTATCTTGAATTCACTGAGAAAGCAACAACACAGGTAGGTACGTAGGTAGGTAAGTAGGGTCTTTTAAATTAAATATTCTCAACATGCAGTATCACTCAACAATGTAGGAATCATTCTAACAATGAAAGGCACAGATTCTAAAATTAATATTCCAAACACTATACTTACTTTTGTTGGCATCCACTCATCAAGTCGCTTATCCAGAACTACATCATAGCAGAAGGCTCCACAGATTACTGTAAATCCAACCAAAATGAAAGGCAAAGTCAAATCTGTTATGGTGGAGGGACTTATTGGCAACAATGGAATATTTAGACCATAAAATGAAGGGCCAGCAATCTCTCTCAACTCTACAAATTATAAAACTGTAACCATTATCCCAGCTCTTGACAGAGTTCTACCAACTTTCCCCCACCCAAAAAACTAACTCACCTTTTGTTAACCCAAAATCACTAGTATGTTTTTAAACATTCATGTTTTCTTTCAGAATATTATCACTATAGAGATTTCAAAGTTACTAGACATAAAAATTCCAAAAGCATGAGATATTTAATATGTAGATGAATGACTAAATGGACATAAAATGTTGAATTTCTTTTTTAATGTCTTCTAAACTTCTTCATTTTTGTTGTTTTGTTCTTAGAATCATTCATTGAGCTTTTTAAATATTTTTGGTATATATGCTTCTATATTTTTTAAAAAATTACAAATGTGGGGGCGCCTGTGTGGCTCAGTCGTTAAGCGTCTGCCTTCGGCTCAGGTCATGATCCCAGGGTCCTGGGATCGAGCCCCGCATCGGGCTCCCTGCTCAGCGGGAAGCCTGCTTCTCCCTCTCCCACTCCCCCTGCTTGTGTTCCCTCTCTCACTGTGTCTCTCTCTGTCAAATAAATAAATAAAATCTTAAAAAAAAAAAAAAAATTACAAATGTGATCTTACTGTACATACTGATGCAAAATCCTAGTTCTACCAAAATTACAAAGAGTGTGTGTGAACTCTTCCATCTCCCCAAAATGGTTCCTCTCCAGAGTCATAGACATTTCTGGTGAAATGGTGCCACCTAAACATAGCTTTCTCCAGAATTCTATTTATACTCTCATTTCCTCCTCCTTCACACATTTGATTTAGAAATACATGCTTAAAGTGGTAGGAAACAGACACCGAGACAATGTAATTACATGAAATTCATATTCAAGAGAAACATTCTCCTCGAATTCCATTATGTAATTACTGACCTCCAATAATTCAATAAGATGGATTTTGTTACCCATTATAAAAGGAACATATATATGACAGTAATTTATATTACATAAAATTAGACATAAGCTCAAAAAAAAAAAGAAGCTCTATAAAATACCAAAAATAGGTACCAAACTACTCAAGGATTACAAAAATATGTGTGTGTGTGTGTGTACATTACCAGGAACTTCGGGAGCTCTGACCAAACTGACCACATATTCATCTTTGAATGCCCTCTCTATCACACAGCCCATCATCATGGCACAAGAACGCCAGTAAGCCTAGAAAAATAAAATACACACAAACATAATACACAGTAAGATTCACTAACATTTCTTCAGTATTAAAATTTAGATTGACTCTTGACTTAGGAACTATTTGTCCATCCTCAGCATGTAGCAATAGTGAACATCAGGCCATGACATTACCTCTCCCAAGCAAAAAGCACAAAAGAATGAAGCACCAACTTGTGCTGTTAGTGGTGTTTCTGTGCAAGATATCACACACTATAATGTTTGTCAAACAATAGACAGTTTTACTATCTGGTAGCAACTTTATCTTTAACCCAAGATAAAGGTAACTTGTTAACAAACTTGTGCTAAAATTAAAAAAAAAAAATGTATTACTATAAACCTGTTTATACCACATATAACAGAGAGGGAAAAACTCAACTTTTAAGAATTTATGACGCCTACCCTCTACCTAAGATCACATAGCAATCACTCAAGTTATTCATATGTACAGCAAAGCAACCTCACTATTAATTGGGCTTTCATTTCACCAGCACATTTGACCCATGGGCATGCCTAATATGGGTATCCATGAATGACCTGATCAGAGTCATGAAGAGAGAAACACAAGTCCAGCACCAGACCTGCCCATCTTATGTCCCATACTGGCACCACTGTAACTGGGCACTTGACCTTCATAAGCTCTTCTCCACATCTGGAGACTAAAAAAGTGGGCTCACTTGGTTGTGTGCAGCAGAAACTGCTCCAGGATGTATTCTACAGAACCACATAAACATACACTAAAAATAAGTACAGACCCAGGCCTTGAAGGCAAGTAGCAAAATGCACCTCCTCATCTATCCTACTTAAATGTTTTTAATGTCTGTTGAACTCCAGAGGCGGAATGCCTAGATTAAAATCCAGGCTCCACTATTTCCTAAACTGGTAAGCTTGGTCAAGCTGCTGAACCTCTCTTTGCTTCCATTTATTTATCTGGAAAATGGGAATTATAGTATCCATTTTTATGGGATTTTTATGAAGAGTAAATGAGTTAATACCTATAAATCAACTAAGATAGTGCCTGATACATAATTAATCCTTGATGTGAGCTATTATTATCGTATCTATCATTTTCTTAAGTGTTTCATTTCAACATGTATTTATTGAATACCTATTGCATGTAAGTCAAGGACTAGGTCCAACAACGGACATCCTGTCTTAACAGAGCCAAGAATCCAATGCATTCAACGGTTCATATAGCAAGGCAGTATTAAAATGTAATATAAAATATAAAATGTTGTATCTAGAGACATTAGCCAAGTGCTATGAGCCCTAAAGAAAGGAGGGATTCATTCTGACAAGAAGAAACTGACAAGATCCCACAGAGCAGGTAGCACTTTAACTGAACTATAAAAGAGAAACAGGACTTTAACAGGGAGGAAAGAAAACACCCAGGGTTGAAGGAGAACATCAGTAAAAGCCAGGAGGCTCACACAGCCTAAGCCATTAGTGACCACATCCTCTAGTGTGGCCAGAGCAAAGAGGAAGTGGAAAGCTGCCATGAAAGTGAAGCTTGAAAGCCAAGCTGCTGTCAGATCACACAGGGCCTGGAGAGGCACGGGAATAACTTTCAGGTCATTCCTGAGAGTTACCAGGTAGGGAAAAAAGTGACACAATCCTTGGTCATGTCATTTAATAAAACTCCTAGTATTAAGACTTTAGTATTAAAAATGGGGGCAGAAGGCAGAGTTAAAAAGTTACCAAAATAATCCAGTGATGATCAAAGGCTGAATTCAAGCAGTAGAGGGAATGAAATATAGAGAGTAATCAATAAATGTTAGTAGAACAAAGACATGAATATAAAAGACAAGTCATATAGTTTTCTCAAACCAAAATACAAGTTTGGGCACCTGGGTGGCTCAGTTGGTTAAGCTACTGCCTTCGGCTCAGGTCATGATCCTGGAGTCCCGGGATCGAGTCCCGCATCGGGCTCCCTGCTCAGCAGGGCATCTGCTTCTCCCTCTGACCCTCCCCCTCTCCTGCTCTTTGTCTCTCATTCTCTCTCTCTCAAATAAATAAATAAAATCTTTAAAAAAAAAAAAAAATACAAGTTCAAGGATTTTTTTGAACTGTGAAAATGCTTAACCTAACAAACAAAACATTGATTATCTAGTACATTACAACATTTGACCTTGGCCATATTTGCACATTTCAGGCTCCGTAGCAAACAGATTTTAATAAATAAAAAAAAAAGAAGAAGAAGAAAAACTAGGGGGGAAAAAAAGAACATAGAGGCAGAAATACCTTATTCACTTCTCCTGGATCACGATCTTTGAAAGTAAGAAATTCAATTTCACAGGATTTGGTCAAAGGTTTATACATGTCCCAAGGCTGTCCGTCCACAAGAGCCAGAATGGACTTCCTGCAGTACCACTCACTTAAATCTAGGAATTTAAAATAGATCGAAGGTCTAAATCTAACAAAACCCAAAGTGAAAAGTTACATGTTTAAGTGCTACATTAAGAAATAGAACAACAGAAAAGCAAGATTCTGCAATGACTTCCTTCAGGAGAAAAAAGTCTTACATCTTACATCTATAACTAATAAAAAAAATAATACCCAACACATCCAATGTATTCTTAACAAAATTGCCCAAACCATTTATAAAAATCATTAAGGCTAAGTCTAATTTCAAATTAATCTGTCAATTATTAAGTAGTAAAACAATTTTCCAAGAGCTACACTTAAATACTTACATACAATTTTCTTAAATACAATTTTTCTTAAATACACTTAAATACAATTTTCCAAGAGCTACACTTAAGAGAGCAGCATCATGGATATATTTGGATATGTGCACACACAACTTAAAAGAGAAAATATATAAATATACATCCATAGTAAATCTGGTCCTAATGAGTTTGGGGTCTTGCTCCCAAACCACCTCTTACTTCCCTAACATGGCCTGTTCAAGTTAAATACCGAAAACAGTTTTTTGTTTTTGTTTTTTTTTAAGATTTTATTTATTTATTTGACAGAGAGAGACACAGCGAGAGAGGGAACACAAGCAAGGGGAGCGGGAGAGGGAAAAGCAGGCTTCCCCACTGAGCAGGGAGCTGGACGTGGGGCTCGATCCCAAGACCCCAGGGTCATGACCTGAGCCGAAGGCAGCCGCTTAACCGACTGAGCCACCCAGGCATCCCAATACCGGAAACAGTTTTTAATTATCAGTATGAATTCACATATAAGCCAATCAGCTCTGGTCTGTTCTTTGACCAGAAGGCAAGTGCAACTCCAACCCTGATGAGATGTTTTTCAAGTACACAGCTACTCACAGAAGTGGTCAAAGCACAGGCACAGGGTCTGAGTAAGTTCCATACAGAGGGGATCAGGTCTGTTTTTGCTCACTCATTCGTATATCCAGAACCTAGTACCACACCTGCAGCACAGTACGTACTCACAAGTGCACTGAACGATCAGAGGTGTGAATGACAAGTGTCAGCACAGGAGTCGTGCTGAGGGTGCTCACAGGCTTCATCTCTACATGTGAAACGTATAAAACTCCTTAAGGACCTGTGCTTTGTCTTAACTTCCTCTGTAATCCTAATGCCCAACACACAGCAAAGAAATGTTCACAAAACAAGTAAACAATGATCATAAGTACTACTTCAAGGGCCCAAGGAAAGGAAGATCCAAAGTAATAACACTAGCTTAAGCTTTTAACTAAAATTGTTAATTACTTAAATGGAATCATTACTGAGTTTTCCAAAAGTTTAAACGATGCAGCTAGTCACATATATGAGTGAGCATGCTGGTGTATAGATCTATTTTGGAAGCTTTCTAAATGTCAACATTACCAGTTCTATCAAAGCTACTTTAAAAGCATTTTGATCAAAAATAGTCTATAGAGAGGCCCTGTTTCCTTCATTCACACAGCGAATCACACAGAGGGCACAGTTACCTCCTTTAAAATATGAACACAACACATACTTGGACCCTCATCCCATTCACCCCATGCACATTTCCACTTACACATTTACTACACACACGTGAGTATGAACAAAAACCAAACACACAAGGAGGCAAGTGGTAAGCAGATAAGAGTGAAGGTAGGCCATAAAGAGCTAGAAAGGAAAAGGCGGCCAAAAAAGCTGGTCATCCGAAGCCAGGGCAGTCCCTCTACCCAAAATTCCTCTGCTGAGAACCATCACCCCAGAGTGCTGTCTAAACCGGCAAGAGCACCAGTAACACCTCCGCCTCCTTGCGCCTGAACAGTTACAGCACCCCAAACCCAGCCCGATTCAAGCAAGTCCCGGGACAACCTGTGCATGACAGGACCAGTGTTTCAAGACCCACAGGACCCTCAAGGGCTAAAGACAGTGGACAGAGAGTAAGAAGCTCTATAAAGGAGAACTTCTCTAAGTTCAGGGAGCAAGGACCAAATCTTGCCTCCTCTGAGCCAGTCCTTCCGCACGGCTCACGTGCAATAGTCAAAACTGGACCCTGATTTGCTACTTACGCAGAGCACAATTATAGGGAGTTGAGATGTTTTTATTCATCACAAAGATCGTGCCAGGGTCGGTCTTCCCAACGTGTTTAACTTCGATCTTCTCAGTGCGAGGAGTTAATGATAACTGCCTGTTCTTCTCTTTACTAAAGAGATCATTCTGCATCTCTATCAGTTCTGTCTGTGACAGCCGAGAAGCTGGCGATGTTGCTATCAGTCCTGGGTGGAAATGACAAGAAATGCCCGTGGTGGAAGAACGCATAGCCCAGCCCGCACCAGCCTCCTACGAGGAAAGAATGGGAGGCAACAGAACTGTAAAACGCCCTGGCCAAAATGCGCTCGGCGATCCACTTAAACCGCCCTCTAAGATTAATAATTAAAACGCCAGCGGAAGAAAACCGCAGCCAGCCCAGATCCACGCTTTCAACTTGGCTCTTCCCCCATCAGATCTGTACTGCCCACCGATTTTCTGTCGTATTCCAGTCTGTGCTTTACAACAAGAGGCAAAACGTAGCCAGAAGTAGTCAAAGTCAGACCAGTCATTGGGAAGGTGAACAAAGCTGCCGCTCTGTAAGATCCTGAGGACAAGAAAGCTCCAGGGGACTGGAGCTCCCTCGCCAAAACGATAAATACCTAGAGCGAGAAATACCGAGCTTATTTTCCAAACCCTAAATCAGAGAGGATTTGACAAAGCCAGTGCGAGCACTCCAACGGGAAAATAAGGACATGTTTGCAGCGGGACGCGGGCTCCTCCCCAGAGGGGCCCTGAGCGCCCCCCGCGGCCCCGTGCGCCCTGCACCCCCAGGTCTGGACCCCCAGGCCGGGAGGGGCGGCCGCCACAGCCGGGACCGAAAGACCCTCCTCTGCCCTCAAGCCCGTGGGACCTCCCAGGACCCGCCTCAGGCCCCATCTGAGCAGATAATCCTTCAAGCCTCGCTCTCCGTCCCCACCGCCGCTGAAACTCACTCCAGCCAGCCGGGCCACCTGGGGCGGCCTGCCAGCGGCGCAGCCCCCTCACCCCCACGGCCATTGCCTCCTCCGCCGCCGTAGGAACCGCCTCGCGCAGGTCCTCTCCTGCCCTCCTCCCCGGAAACTCTGAGCACGCACCCTGCGTTCCGTGGAACAGTTTTGTTCCGGTCCCGACGCTCGGGCCGCGCGCCGCCACTAGGGGGCGCGTTTGCGCCTCGATGAAGATTAGAGGTGGGAGGTCCGGCGTCCGGAGCTGGGGTACGTTCCAGGGGCGCCGAGGGTGACCCGTCCGCCACCCCCGGGGGCTCCGCAGGGAAACACACTTCCTCTTTGGGGTCGCACAGTCCGGCAGGCTCCATCACCCGCTTGCCTCCGTGGGTTCGAGCCCAAAGAGCTGGGCGAAACCCTTGCTTCCCGCAAAGAATATTTCTGGGGAGAAAAACGGGAAAGACGACTTCGGTTGACTCTTGCTTTCGTGGTCAGCCCGCCGGTCACGCTGATGACATCTTAACTCTCCGTTTTGCAAGGGTGAGTTCTTAGGTGGGCGGAGGGGCCTGTGCCAGGGTTCTCCATTTACTGGGCCATTGAAGGGAACTCTATAAGCCATAGAGCTCTTTAGAAATTAAATTAGTTGCTGTGGTATTTGGAGAATCGAGAGAGCATGTTAAAGGCATGCTGGTGATGCTGGCAGGCCGATCTAGGGACCCAGAGAGAGCGGGTACCGCAGGACCAGCCTCTGGAGAGGATCCCTGGCTGTGTGCAGGATGGAAATCAAACACGAGCCAGCAGGAGGGGAAAGCAAAGTTGGTTGAAGGTCTGGAGAGAGCGCAGGTACAGACAGAAAGGAAAAGAGAGAGCCTCGTCTTTGCTTGGGCCCTGGGAGTTTTTATCGAGGGCCGTGGTGTCCTCGAAGGCATCCAGGAACCAGTTAGAACAAAGATGAGGGCTCAGGCCTTATTCCTTTGAGCCAGGGTGGTCTTGGTGTCCAGATGTCTAGCTCTGGTGCTCTGGAATACCATATGATCGCTTCCTCGCCATTCTCACCAGAACAGAATAGAATAGAATAGAATAGAATAGAATAGAATAGAAGTTACCTATTCTAAGGAAATCATTCACTCCTTGTCCCTTACAAAGAGGACACACACTATTTGTATTATAAGGCATGTGTGAAGTGGGGGTGCAGGTCCTAGCAAGAACAGAAGCAGGAAAGGGAGCAGAAAGCAGATTTTTATGGGGTCCTTCAGTTTCCCTATCTCACTGGGGTGGAATTTTTGTCTCTTATCCCAAGGGGCCAGAGCAGTGCACACAGTAGGCGCTCAATAGAATGTGCTGAATGATTGCCTGCCTTTGCGGGAAGTTCCAGCGCAGCGTCTGACTCCTTTGCCAGAACAGCATGTTATTGCTATCGAAGCAAGCATAACCTAGGTGAAGTGGGATAATGATTTTTATTCAAAGTTGTCGAATGCTGTGGCTTTACTTGAGCCGTTAAGTTTACAAATTAAGCCCTTGGCCTTTCCCCCTCCGCTCCGACTTGCAATGGGAACACAGTGCCACCAGGGGGCGGCACTGGCTAGAGAACAAATACCAGGCATTGTTCCCCCCGCCCCCGGCCTTCCCTTGGGGAGTTGGGTGAAATGTGGTCAGGAAGTAGACTTCCAGCTTTAAGATAAATCAGTACAGGAGAGGTAATGTCCAACATGATGACTCTAAGTAACAATATGGTATATTTGAAAGTTGCTAAAAATATAAATCCTCAAAGTTCTCATCATAATCTCTGAAGCAACAGATACTAGCTTACTGTGGTAATCCTTGTGCAATATGCATGTATTTCAAGTCTTTGTGCATGTATTTCAGGTCTTTGTGCTGTACACCTTAAACAGTGTTGTGTGTCAGTTATAAAACTTGAAGAAAAACAAAAGACTCCCTGCCTCCATACATGTGTCTCCTTGTTCTGAATTTTATATTCACAATTGCTCAGGGAGTGTCATTCCTTCACTTTTAAAATGAGAAACGTTAAATAAGCAGCCGATCTTGGACTTAAAGCTGGTCAAGTTTTTCTAGGCCATTTCTCATTTAAAATCCTATTTCAAACCATGAAATACACATATACATCTGTGTGGGATGTGTGTGTGTGTGTTTTGCATACTCCTTAAATTTGCATACACTTACTCCCTCAAAAGATCTTTGTTCATCAGTCTTTTAGATTTTAACCCCATCTAGTTGCCTTCAGAACATTTTAGAGCAATATTGAACCAAAGCCTCAGAACATAAATTTAAGCAAGTTTAATCATAAATCAATCACAGTGGGAGCAGTAATTGGAAGTCCAAAGTATCACAGAAATTAACTTAGTTGGAAGGATGTTAGTAATGGTAATATCCAACAAATGTTGAACATATGCCAATCAATCAGGTTTATTAATTTTTGCAAACCTACTCATTCAATAGGCATAATAATCTTTATTTCCCAGATGAGGAAATTCAGGTTTGGAGAACCTGAGAGACCTACCCAAAGTAGATCTTTGGTCAAGAATTCCCTCAAAATATTTCCTTATGCTAAATCTCCTTTCTGGCCTCCTTTATCAGCTTTCTCCCCAAATCTTAGTCTCACTCTCTTGAGTCTCTCTCCCAAACAAAAAGAATCATCAGGTAAGTGGCAGTAAATATCAAAGGTCAGCCTAGAACATCTTACTGTGCCAGAAAACAAGAAAATTCTCAAAAGACAGGCAGAAGCATGTTAAAAGGATGCAGGATCCAGCTTGACAAGACCTCCCATTGTACAAATTCAGGACAGTTTAAACAACAAAAAGGATAATGATGAAGGATTATAACATATATGTTAAAAAAAAAAAAGTCCATGAGTCCATAGTGATACTCAAAAATAAATGGGAGCAGAGAGGAAGTTTTCTTACAAAATCCACATAATAGAATAATGGAATGGGGAAAAAATCACCACTCTGCAACTACCCATGCAATAATTGATTCAGAAGGGGATCACCTATGGATGCTAAAAGCAGTGGGGAAAATTTGTTGGGAATCAGGATATTCCCCAAGGATCTAAGTATCACCCCACAGATTATCTCCACAGAGGGATAAAGGAAACGTCATTGGAGAAATCTGGTGGACACTACCTAACAAAGTGGTCAAAATTTATCATCACCTCAAGTGGGACAATCTGACATTATTTGTGTCTCCTGGTTGTGATATAAACAGTGTGACATGTGTAGTATTCCTACCATAACTGTTTAACCTAAATCGAAAGAATCATGAGGAAGAGAAATCAGATATATTCAGGAAATTCCACAAAACAACTGGCCTAAGCACTTCAAAAACTTCAGTTTCATGAAAGAGGAACCAAAGCAGTTCAGGAACTGTTCTAAATTAAAGGAGACGAAAGAGAGAGATGACAAGTAGCCATGTATGATCCTCACTTGGGTTTTGGATCAGAAAGAAAAAAAAATTCCAAGGATATTATTATGACAAACTTGAATATGAACTGTATGGTAAATAATAGCATTGTAACACTGCTGTGTTTCTTGGACCTGATGACAGAATTATGGTCATGCAGGAGAAAGTCCATGTTCTTAGGATACAATGTGGAAAGATTTAGGGGTACAGCATCATCATGCCTATAATTCTAATGGCTCAGTAAAAATCAAGGGCTTTATATCTAGAGTGGGAGCAAGACAAATTTAGCAAATTGTGGCAAAATGTTAACAACCGGGGAAGCTAAGCAAGGTGTCAATGGTACTACCCTTTCAATATTATTCTGAAAATTTTCAAAATAAATAATTGAGGGAATAACCACAGTGGTTTTCAACCACAGAAGTTTGTTTTGCTCACATGGCACATCAGGGGATGGCAGCTACAGGACAATTGTGGCTCAGCAACTTTATTCCAGAATCCAAGCTGTCGAAAGCAGCCCTCTGCCCGCCCCCCTACCCCTTTCGCCTCCTGACATGCCCCCCCCCCCCCACCAGCTTGAGACTTGTGGTCCCCTGGCAGAAGGAAGGGAGAGCAAGCTCTGCTCAGTGCACTGGTTCTTGAAAGCTTCTCAGACTCACCAGCTCGTGGCCTCACTGTCCCCTAGCCCTAGCAAGTCCAGTGGCCAAGCCCAGTGGCAATCGGGCGGGCAGCGTATGCCTTCTTGGGAGCCAGTAAATGAGGTTATAGAATTCAAGGAGAAAAGCAACTCACTGACATCTAGAATCCAATAGCCTGGTGACCCTCCCAAGATCCGTTATTCTTCCATGATCACCAGCTGAGTGGGGACTCAAACTCAGATCCATCTCCAAAGCGTATCCTTTGTTTTTCTCTCCAATTCATTGTTTGGGTTTTTTTTAATCCAAATATTTGATTTTACATTTTCAAATTATTATACATTTACTTGCTTGGAAAATCAAGGAAATATATATTATAGGGCATACTTTGAAAAGTTTCGCTCCCAGCTCTTGGTCCCCATTCATTCTTCCCAAAACCTCACACGGGATACCACTGTTATTAATTTCTTGTGCATTCTTGAGAGTTCCGGGTGCCTCTATCAGCTAACCCAAATAGATAAACTCCCTGTCCTCCTCCTCTATGTTCCCAAATGCAGCATACCAAACACATAGTTCTTTGCCTTGCAAAACTGTGCTTTTCATTAGCTTGAATGTTAGTCTGGTACTCCTGAGGAGCAGATGCCAAAACAGAATTAAATATGCAAGGATTTTCTTCCAGTGAGAGAAGAGGAGAAGGCTGGCTCCACATGAAGTAGAGGAGGAAAAGAGCCTGGAGGCATTCCTGACTGCCAGAGCAGGCTAGGGAAGCTGGTCAACACCACGAAAGGAGGGGGTACAGTCCTTGAGCCCAAGTCCAGAACTAGAAGGATCCCAGATATTCCCAGCCTGCCAGACTCAGTCTCCAGCTGGGAACAGTGGGTGGGAGGTGTGCCCTCAGAGCAAACAGGGTGGATTTCAGAGTTCAAAAGCAGGGGCTCTTGGTCATGACCCCCCCACCCTCATAGGTGGAGGTCTATGAAGCATTTGAAATAAGCCATCTTTAAGAAATCAAATAATTAAAGAAGCACTTGCTATGCATTTTACATTTACTATGTAATAAACACACACACACACACACATTTCTATCAATGATCTCCACACCCTCCACTTCCACCTGGCTTGAAAGGTACAGATAAACACACAACTCCTAAGATTATAAGAACAGAGGAAAAAGCAGGTGCAATCCAAGCCTTTTCTATTAGTGTGATACCATGGGGCAAAATGGTACCTTCACTTCAGCATCAATCCTTACTAACTCCTTAACGGGCTAAGGTAGCAGTGGAGTGTGTGTGTGTGTGTGTGTTTCCATGGGCTTCTAGAGAAATGAAATGCAATTGAATATAAAAATGTACATATAGGGGCGCCTGGGTGGCTCAGTTGGTTAAGCGACTGCCTTCGGCTCAGGTCATGATCCTGGAGTCCCGGGATCGAGTCCCACATCGGGCTCCCTGCTGAGCAGGGAGTCTGCTTCTCCCTCTGACCCTCCTCCCTCTCGTGCTCTCTCTCATTCTCTCTCTCGCAAATAAAAATAAATAAATAAAATGTACATATAGATGGGGCACCTGGGTGGCTCAGTCAGTTAAGCATCTGCTTTTGGCTCAGGTCATGATCTCAGGGTCCTGGGATCAAGCCCCGCATCGGGCTCCCTGCACAGCAAGGAAGTCTGCTTCTTCTTTTCCCTCTGCCCCTCCCCCACTCATGTTCATGAGTACTCTCTCTCTCTCAAATAAGTAAATCTTTTAAAAAAATAAAGATTAAAAAAATGTACATATAGGAGCACCTGGCTGGCTCAGTCAGTGGAGCATGCGACTCGATCTCGGGGTTGCAAATTCAAGCTGGGTGTAGAGATTACTGGGTGTAGAGATTACTTAAAAATTAAAAAAAATTTTTAATATACAGAGTCCACTCCTGCTAGCATTCCTCCTTTAAACTATTCCATTCTTCCTTTCACCACAAGAAAATATTATCAGTTCTTTCTTATTAGTAAAGAAGAGAGAACCAAGCATACAGATCACCAAAGTATAGAGTTTCTTCTTAGGTAATATTTTCTATCTCATTTTACAAATGTAGTGCGTGCGTGTGTGTGTGTGTGTGTGTTTGCACATGTGTGCATGTGTAAGAATTGTGTTAGGAAAGTAAAATTTTTGTTTCTAAGCTTCATTAATAAAGACCAAGTAATGTTTATTTAAAACACTAATGATTCAGTGAGCCTTGAAAACTATAAATTAAATCACAAGTTGAAGGGAGAGTATGGATCATTTATTCCAGCCACCTCATTTACTAGAGAGAGAAGATGACTCACAGAAAGACTAGTATTTGGCTCAAGGTCGTACAGAATGCTAGTGTAGCATCTGGGATTACTGGAAACACCAGGGCATGTGGAAAATGCCAGGACTCCTGAAATTGGCATGCACTCCTTAAAATGCTCTGAATCATCCCACCCTGCTGCAGCCACACCAAACCCTTCATTTCATAGTTCTGTGAACGCTGCAAGAATTCTCTTCCCATTTGCTTAGGATTTCAAAGATGTACTAATCCCTCAAACACATGTTAATGCGGATTTTCTTTGATGAGAAGGGACAGATATATTCTCCAGAAGTAAGCTCCTCCTTCAGTCCTCCCTCCTATTTGAGACTGAGAAAACCTTTAAGAGTACCCTCAAGTTCACTTACAGTCTTTTAGGATGAGGGTTCATGGTGAGTGAAAATGGGGAGTGGGGTGAAAATTAATGAAATTGGCCAAGGTGATGCTTTTTTGGTGAAACAAAATACTTTCCTCCAGAATCCCTCTCCCTAATTATACATAACTTCTTTTTTCCCACTTTTTATTGTTCTTTTAAACTCTTGACTTTCCCTGTCTAATTCACTATTCCTTGACTATGACACTGGCCCGTCCTCCCTTCTCTCTCCACCATCCAATCTTGACCTGCTCTGGGAAAACATACAAGCTGGATCCTGAACACCCAAAAGCAACCCACACCCACTGACTAACTTATGAAATGTGGTATTGGGAGGAAGTGAAAGCCTCTGTTAGATCCCAGATGTCCACTTCTTAGCCCTGTGACTTGGGGACAGCTGGACCATAATTTACTTAACCATACTCTCTTTCATGTACACTTAGGATATTTGAAATATTTTGCTGCAATGAGCATCTGTCTATCTAAAATCTGTACACTGGTGTATTTCTTCAGAAGAGGTTCCTAGCAACAGAATTGCTTGGTCAAGGGTATATGCATTTGAAATTTTAATAGGTGCTGCCAAAGTGTCCATCAAAGCCATTAAACAAGACAAAGCAGAGATAGGTTTATTCCAGATGACAGTTGCAAATATTATCATAGTGGTAAAAGGCCACACTTTCATACATCTTTGACTTGGTGAATGAGGTCCAAGGTCACACCCTCTAACCTTCCACTTTCCCCATTTCATATACGAGAGCCTTTTTTTTTTTTAAAGATTTTATTTATTTGACACACAGAGAGAGAGAGGAATCACAAGTAGGCAGAGTGGCAGGGAGTGGCAGAGGGAGAAGCAGGCTCCCCGCTGAGCAAGGAGCCCGATGTGGGACTCGATCCCAGGACCCTGGGATCATGACCTGAGCCGAAGGCAGACGCTTAACGACTGAGCCACCCAGGTGCCCCTACAAGAGCCTTTTTAACTTGACCTGGCATTTATCTGTTGGCGTCATCACAGAAAATGCAAACTCAGAGCCAGTAATTTCTTGACAATCTTTATTTCAAAGGGCTGGATTATATCTCTCAATCCTATTATAAAAGCATATACCACCTTATTGTATATCTTCAATAGCAATGAGTTGATCTCTCCAGACTTTACTTCGTGTTTTCCTCTAGATTCCGTTTCAAATGGTTTTACATTTTTTATTGCTGTTTTATGTTACACAAACAACATAGTCTCTCTATAAAACTGCAAACACATAGAGAGTAAAGCATGAGTCATCCTTCCCAATCTCGCTGCACTATATATCTCTATATTTCTATACCTAGATCTCAGATATTCTTAGTTTCTCAATCCATTCTTTAAGACTCAACTGCTCCATATACTGTTCACGTTATTCAATAAATCCCCAAGAAGTGGCAAAGGCAATGAAATATAGGAACAACAAGAATAAAGAAACAGAAACTCCCTGAACAGTTCTCTCTGTGACAACTGTGGGAGTATTTTGATAACTGTTGGCAGCAGGATGCTGCATGTGATGTGGGGAAGGAAACCTTGGCATTCAAACAAGCAAATGGTTTGGCGACAGTTTATTAAATTTCTGCAATGCTTGCAAATGCCAGTAACAATTTCTCAGACTGCAGACTTACTACATGTGACAGGTTTGAGAATGGTTCACAATTGTCATCAAATAAATTACCCTTCAAAATTAAAAATCATAGGGACTCTGAATAATTTTCACTACTAAAACAAAAGCTCCCTAGAGTTTCTGTATTTAACTTGTGTGTTTTGGTTGTTTTCTTGCCACAGAAGCAGAAGGCAAGCAAAGGCATCCAAGTAAAATTATAATTAAATCTCACTGGTAAGTTTTTATCAAACTATTAGATCTTATTTGTGTAAAAAAAAAAAAAAAGAAGTCTATATTCCTTCCTAAATGTATATCTATAAATGCCTTAATTAAAAAAGATTTTCAAAGCAATAGCTAACATTATACCATAAGGAACTAGAATAAGAAGACCAAAGCTAGCAAAAGGTAGGAAATAATAAAGATTAGAGCAGAGATCAGTGAAATAGAGAACAGAAAAACAATAGAGAAAGTCAATGAACCAAAAGTCAGTTATTTTAAAAGATAAATTTTTTCTTGGTTAGCTAAACTGACCAAGAAAAAAGAGAGAAAACACAAATTACTAAAATCAGGAATAAAAGAGGGACCATTACTACCAACCTTATAGTAATAAAATAGATTATAAGGAAAGCTATGAACAACTATATGCCAACAAATCAGGTAACTTAGATGAAATGGACCAATTCCTAGAAAGACACAAACTACCAAAACTGACTCAAGAAAAAAAATCAAAAATCTGAATAGGCCTATAACAAGTAAAGAGATAAAATTAGTAATTTAAAAAATTTCCTACAAATAAAAGACCAAGTTCAGATAACTTTACTGGTGAAGTCTACCAAATGTTTGAGGAAAATTAATACTAATTCTTTGCAAACTCTTCCAAAATATAGGAGAGGCAGGAACACTTTTTAGTTCATTTTATGAGGCCAGAATTATTCTGATACCAAAACCAGAAAAATATATCACAAGGAAAAATAAAACCACAGACCAAAATCCCATATGAATATAGATGCAAACAATCTTCAACAAAATACTAGCAAACTGAATCCAACAACATATAAAAAGATTACATACCAGGACCAAATGGGATTTATCCCAGAAATTCAAGGGTGGTATAATATATGAATATCAATCAATGTAATACACTATATATAATAAATGACCAAAAAAACACATAATAATCTCAACAGATGCAGAAAAGGCATCCTTTCTTGATAAAATCCAACATCCTTTCTTGATCAAAACACTCAACAAACCAGGAATAGAAGTGAACTTGCTCAACCATCCACAGTTAACATCATACACGATGGTGAAAGACTGAATACTTTCTCTTAAATCAGGAACAAGAAAGAAAAGAATGTTCACTCTTTCACTTCTGTTTAACATCATACTGGAAGTCATATCCAGGACAATTAGGCGAGAAAAAGAAATAAAAGTGCTCACTTCAGCAGCACATATACTAAAATTGGAACAACACAGAGAAGATTAGCATGGCCCCTGAATAAGGATGACACACAAATTCATGAAGCATTCCCCCCCCCTCAAAAAAAGGAAGGAAGGAAGGGAGAAAGAAAAGCATCTGGACTGAAAAAGAAGCAGCAAAAATATATTTGCAGATGACATGGTATTGTACATAGAAAATCCTAAGGAATCCACTAAAAAAGTATTAGAACTAATAAAGTACAAGAAGGTTGCAGGATATAAGATCAATATAAAAAATCAATTTCTATTCCTATAGACTAGCACTGAAAATTCTGAAAATAAAATTAAGAAAACAATCCCATCCCATTTACAATAGCATCAAAAAGAATAAATCTCTTAGGTATAAACTGAGTAAAAGAAGTGCAAGACTTGTTCACTGAAAACTATAAAACATCACTGAAAGTAATTAAAGACCTTAAAAAATGGGAAGATATCCTATGTTCATGGACCAAAAGACTTAATATTGTCAGGATGGTAATACTCCCCAACTTGATTTGTAGATGCAGTATAATCCCTATCAAAATCCCAGCTGGCTTTTGAAGAAATTGACAAGATGATTGTAAAATTCATACAGAATTGCAAAGAACCCAGAATAACAAAACGATCTTGAAAAAGAAGAACAAAGTTAGAAGACTCATACTTCCTGATTTCAAAACTTACTACAAAGCTACAGTAATTAAGACAATGTGGCACTGGCTTACAGATGGACATATAGAATGGTGGAAAAATTGAGAGTCCAAAAATAAATCCTTACATTTATGGACAATTGATTTTTGACAAATGTATCAAGACATAATAGGGAGAGAATAATATTTTCAATAAATGGTGCTGGGACAACCGGATATCCACATGCAGAAAATGGAATTTATTTACCAAGATATATCTCCCATACCAGACAACATACACAAAAGTTATATGACTACCTCACAACATATACAAAAAGTTAATTCAAAGTGAATTACAAATCTAAATGAAAGAGCTAAAACTAGAAAACTCTTAGAAGAAAACAGGAGTAAATCATTTTGACCTTGAGTTAAAGCAGTGGTTTCTTAGATGTAAAAAAAAAAAAAAAGCATAAGTAAAAAAAGAAAAAATAAATTGTACTACATCATACTTTGTGCACAAATCATCAAGAAAGTGAACAGATTTCCACAGAATGGGAAAAGGAAATTTGTAAATCACATACCTGACAAGAAATTTGTATCCAGAATATATTTAAAAAACACAACCCAATAACAAAAATGGGGCAACTAATCTAATTAAAAGTGGGCAAAACATTTGAATAGACATTTATCAAAGAAGATACACAAAATAACCAGCAGGCATGAAAAGCAAGGAGAAGATGCTCAACATCATTAACCATCAGCGAAATGCACGTCTAAACCAAATGAGATACTACTTCACACCCATTAGGTTGGCTTTAATTAAAAAGGCAGTTTTGACGAGAGCTGAGGAGGGTATGGAGACACCATAACCTACACACTGCTGGTGGGAATGTCAAGCGGTACGGCTGCTTTGGAAAACAGTCTGGCAGTTCCTCAAAATGTTGAGCGTACAGTTATCATGTAACCTAGCAATTCAACTCTCAGGCATACACCAAGAGAAATGAAAACATACATCCACACCAAAAACCGTACCTGAATATTCATAGCAACATCAGTCATAATAGCCAAAAGGTGAAAACAACCCAAATGTCCATCAACTAATGGATGAAAAACAAAATGTAGTGAATCCATACAACAGAATATTATTCACCAGTGAAAAGGAATAAAGTACTGATACATGCTACAACACGGATGAGTCCAGAAAACATTATGCTAAATGAAAGAAGCCCATCACGAAAGATCACATAGCGTATGGTTCAATTTATATTAAGTGTTCAGAATAGGAAACTATATAGAGACTGAAAGTAGGTTAGTGGTTAATTAGGACTGGGGAAAGGGGGTTGAGAGTTGGAGGTGAATGCTAACGGATACTAAGTTTCTTTTAGGAGAGACTAAAATGTTCTAAAATTAGATATGGTGATGGTTGGGGCGCCTGGGTGGCTCAGTTGGTTAAGTGGCCAAATCTTGATTTTGGCTCAGGTCATGATCCTGGGTCCTGGGATAGAGCCCTGTGCCTTGGAATCTGGTTGGGATTCTCTCTCTGCCTCTGTCCCTCCCCCCCACGTGCTCGTTCTCTCTAAAATAAATAAATAAATCTTTAAAAAAAAAAGATGTGGTGATGGTTTCACATCCCCGTAAATATATTAAACAACACTGAATTTATGTTTTAAATGGGTAAATTGTATAGCATTTGACTAATATCTTTTTTTTTAAGATTTTATTTATTTATTTGTCAGAGAGAGACACAGCGAGAGAGGGAACACAAGCAGGGGGAGTGGGAAAGCGAGAAGCAGGCCTCCCGTGGAGGAGAGAGCCCGATGTGGGGCTGGATCCCAGGACCCTGGGATCATGACCGGAGCCGAAGGCAGATGCTTAGCGACTGAGCCACCCAGGCGCCCCTTGACTAATATCTTAATAAAGCTGTTTTGTTTGTTTGGGTTTTTTTTAAGATTTTATTTATTCATTTGAGACACACAGAGAGAGAGAGAGAGAGCATGAGCAGGGGGAGAGGCTGAGGGAGAGGGAAAAGCAGGCTCCCCACTAAGTCAGGAGCCTGATGTGGGGCTCAATCCCAGGACCCTGGGATCATGACCTGAGCCGAAGGCAGACGCTTAACCATCTGAGCCACCCAGCCGCCCCAGTAAAGCCGTTTTTTAAAAATTCCCAACTAGTCTGGTTGGCCTTTTGACAGGATACCTTATTCCCAGTCCCTTGGGCATCACACTTTCCTGCCTCTTACCGTCAACCTTGACACGCCCTAGAGGAGGCCAGTTGAGTCCTGATCTCCTAAAACCACCCCCAAATTAGTTGCATACAACCAGCATGAACCACCAGTAAGAGCACAGCTCCAGAGCTAAGCTGCCTTTGTTCAAATCCCTGCTCTCCACTTCTTAATCCTTGACTTGTATTAGCTTATTTGCACCTCACGTTTCTAATTAATCATTAAAAATTGGAGTAATTATAATACCTTGTAGCACTTGGGGACAATTAAAGCATTGGCATTCAGCTCATTAATGGGTACGCTCAAGGAGGTCGGTTTTTGTTATCGGGAGTAACCTTCACACTGTGACCCTCATGGGTGGGACTCGTTCTGGCCCAGATTTGGATGATTTCTCATTTTATTTCACATGGAGATGACAACAGGTGCCTTCACTGGGCTCCCTAACCTAGCAGAAGGCACTAGATCTCCCTGCTACACCGTGGGTTGGCCACATAGCCATTTGGATATGGGAGGTAGTTTAGCACATATCCATAGTTAAATGGAATTATGCGTTTTTAATTAGAATATTCTCTGCATCAAGTGTGAGCTAAGGGGACTCATTACCTCATTCTTAGAAAAATAATTACACATAAATAAGAGTATAAAGAAATGCATTTAGAAGGTAGTGAACATTTAAAACATCAGGAAAAGGGAGTGTATTTACAATTCCAGTTTGTAAATCTCTCACTTATTTGTAATCAGATTGTTTTTTATTCAATTCAGGTTAATTTTCCTGTTGGTATAAGTCATCTCTGATAATCATTCTATATTTATTCTCATCCCTTTCCTTTGCAATCCACAATATTTAGATGCTCGACAAGCTGGAAAATTCAACCCAGCGTCTTCTACAATAAAAAATTTCCATCACGAGGACGCCTGGGTGGCTCAGTTGGTTAGCGTCTGCCTTCGCCTCAGGTCGTGATCCTGGAGTCCCGGGATCGAGCCCCGCATCGGGCTCCCTGCTCTGAGGGAAGCCTGCTTCTCCCTCTCCCACTCCCCCTGCTTGTGTTCCCTCTCTCGCTGTCTGTCAAAAAATAAATAAAATCTTAAAAAAAAAGAGTGGCATGCTCTATCAACTGAGCCAGCCAGACACCCCCCAACCATGACATTTTAATATCACTGATATACAGTTGACCCTTGAACAATGTGGGGGTTAGGAACACCAACCCCCCACACAGTCGAAAATCTGCACATAACTTTTGATTCCCCCCAAAACTTAACTCCTAATCGCCTGCTTTTGACCAGAAGCCTTATGGATAACATGAACAGTATATTAACACATAGTTTATATGTTACATGTATTATATATTGTATTCTTACAATGAGGTAAGCTAGAGAAAAGAAAACGTCATTAGGAAAACCATAAGGAAGAGAGAATACATTTACAGTACTGTATTTATCAAAAAAATCCACGTATAAGTGGACTTGCGCACTTCAAACCCCTGCCGTTCAAGGATCAAGTGTACTATATATCTGTTTAAGCTTTTTTACCTCCAACAAAATAATTTTCTCCGCCTTGGGGGCAATATTGCACCCATTGACAACTGATGGCCTTATTCTAGTATTCAAATTTCATATGGTAAGAGAAAGTCAGATGAACTAACTTCCTCCTGCCACCTGTTATTTCAGTAGCAGAAATGCATTCGAAAAACATTCGATTATTGCTGTGCTAATTCGGAGTGGTCCACGGATCAGCAGCATCACCACCACTGGGTATAGTTGGTTAGCAATGCAGACTCTCAGCCCCACCTCAGACCTACTCCATCAGCATCTGCGTTTTAACACGATCCTCTGTTAATTCAGATGCCCGTTAGCCTGAGAAGCATTGGTTTACAGGACAATCCTCTACTCAGCTGGGAAACATTAAGATAATGTGTGAATGGAAAAAAGATGCATAGGCCCTAAAACTAGTTTTGTTGTTTTTTTTTTTTTTAAAGATTTTATTTATTTATTTGAGAGAGAGAATGAGAGACAGAGAGCATGAGAGGGAGGAGGGTCAGAGGGAGAAGCAGACTCCCTGCCGAGCAGGGAGCCCGATGCGGGACTCGATCCAGGGACTCCAGGATCATGACCTGAGCCGAAGGCAGTCGCTTAACCAACTGAGCCACCCAGGCGCCCCCTAAAACTAGTTTTTAAGTAACCCACAACTTCTTCTCAAATTCTGAGTCATACACCAAGTTTCTTTGGTCATCAATATTATTTTTTAAATGTACAACTGGGTGTGTTTTGTTTGAGAAACGGTAATTTCATTTTCTTCTAAGCAAGTGAAAAATCCCCATGAGGCCTCATCTTGCTGCCCCGCCTCCTCACCCCCACTCCCCGCTGTTTTTCTCCCAAAAAGCAGGTGTGTTCCAATTAGTTGGAGAGAACAAGATAAATAAAGAGAAGTTTCTCTTTTTCTCCCCAATGAATTAGCCTTCCAACTTCCAGTCAGGGCCTCCATAAAATTAAGCTTGTTTTGTCAGTGATAATTTCTCTTGGATCAAGTAAGTGGGTGGAGCAGGTAATAAGGCAAAGAGGTTTTATCTACTTTACCATTTCGAAGAACCAGCAAGTCAGCATGCGGGAGAGAGGATACTGAATTAATTCAATACACTTTGGTTCCTTATTTATAAAAATAGAGTTAATTTTTTAATTAATTTTTGAGAGGATAAGAATGAAATTTTGAAATGTGTGTGAAATAAATGAAAATTCTTAGCCATACAGAAAAGAAGACCTAGCATGACAAACACCATGGACCCACCGCCTACATTAACAATCTGCCGCATTTAAGTGCTTCTGTATTTTTTCTGAAGCATTTTAATATGAATTATAGATAGATGACAGTTCACCCTAATCTTTCAGGGTTTTTTTTTAAATAAGGATTTTTTTACATAAGACATGAGTTTTACTTAACTGAGACTTTTGAGGTTAAAACAAAGCTTCCATTGTTATTCCCATCACTTTTTCCCCAACCAGCAGGAGATGAGAAAAAAAAACCTGGACCTGTTAGAATTGGCCCAAGTACCAGCAGCTGAGACTTTATTTTTTGATGTTTCCAGAAGAGCCTTGACAGCAGAAAGCAAAGTTCTCTTTAGTTCTACACTGTTGACGAAGACCGTGGTCAAGTTAGGCGAAAAGCAAAAGCTCTCCTCATGGAAAAACGCTGTGGAAGATTTGGCTCAACACCAGCCACTTTTTCTTAGTTAAGACTCTCAGCTAACATGTCGGAGCTTTTAAATGCAGAAAGAAGGGAGCTTGGAAAAGAGGTAAGAGGAAGATCAGAGGAGAGAAGACACAGAGTGTCTTATAAACCCCAACTCAAATGCCAGGCAAAAGGCATCTCTCCCTTCTATCTCCTGATATCCCTTTCTATTCTAACACTTGACTTCCTAGGATAAATTTAAATATATTTTATTTATTTTTAATTTATCTGACAGAGAGAGACACAGCGAGAGAGGGAACACAAGCAGTGGGAGAGGGAGATGCGGGGCTGGATCCCAGGACCCTAGGACCACAATCAGAGCCGAAGGCAGACGCTTGACAACTGAGCCACCCAGGCACCCCTGAAGATATTTTAAATAGTTAATGAGACGCGTGTGTTGGTGCGTGCGTCCGTGCGTATGTGTAGTGGCTGGGGGTAGGAAGAGAAAGGAAAAAATCTGTAGTAGTTGAGTGGAGGTCGCTTATCATATTGACATCTTTCCAGCAGCAATATATGGTATTGTTTTTAGAAGACTGGCTTATTCTTCATTTTTAAATTGAAAGACTAAAACATAAAGTTGTTCAGTTTTATTGTTGAAAGTGCCTTTACAATCACATACCTCAGTCCCATCTTCTACATATGAGGAACTGAAGTTCCAGAGGGGTTAGGTGTCTTATCTAAGAGTGTATCTAGGAAAAAAGAAATGTTGCTTCTGGAATGGCGTGTGTATCCTCACTTTTGACTTTCAGGACTCCAGGATGTTTGGTCGCTATCCTAGGAAGGAATAACCAGGATGGCCACTTACCCCAGGGGCTCTAACCCGGGCATCCTGCTTGTTAAACAGCATCCATCCCCATGGGGCATTTTCAAAGCCTCCAGTGTTCCCCATCATTGTGTTCACTGGCTCCAAGCCAGCAGACAAGCATTTGAACTTCTGTGCCTGGGATGATGCCTAACACTTCAGGGAATCAACAGCCCGGCTTTCTTTATAATATTACATTTCCAGGAAAAAAATATATTTCTGAAAAGTGTTCTAATTCCTAAGAGGATTTACATCTAAAAGGCACAAGGCAAACCTTAAAAATTCAGTGAGATGACAGGGTTTTAAAGGATATCATGTGAGAAAATATGCCCTCTCTTGACTTTTCAAAAAAAAAATAAGTCTTGGCTTGTGCGGTGGACAGAATGTTGTCGCTTAGAGTATTATCAGTGTCGAAACTAAATGTTAATTTGACTTCATCAGAGCCCAAAAGAGCATTCTGGAAAGACTGAAACTATCCACCTGGCCTAAAGGAGACAGATCCAAGAACACAGTGGAATTCCTAAATCTTTGCGAGTGAAAAGGCATAATTCTATCCCTTGTCCCTCCCATCCAGTTTTTGCCAGAGCAAGGTAGATCAAGTTCATTTGTGTTCTCCAACACCTTCCCAAGGATCTTAAAGATGAAAGAATGCAGTTGAGATGCTGGTAAGAAAAGTTCTTTTAAGTATAGAGTTCCATCAGCATTAAAAATTTGATGATTATGGGGCATCTGGGTAGCTGCTCAGTAGCAAGTCTGCTTCTCCCTCTCCCTCTGTGATCTCTCTCTCTCTCAAATAAATAAAATCTTTTTTTAAAAAAGAATTTGATTATGCAAAACATTAAAAAGTTTATACAGATCTATTAAAGAAAAATATGTTTGGAATATAAATATCAAATAAATAATAAACAGCCTGTTTTGCTACACGCATTTCTATTTATCTGCCTCAGTTGGAGTACATACTAAATTCCATACTTCAAAAGAGTGCCTTGAGGACTAGGCCCAAAGAGGACTAGGCTACTATCTTTTTCTTTCTGTAATTCAAGAAAAATTAACCAAAATGCAAAGAATATTTTTTAAGTCATGTTTTTCTTTGTTGGCACAATGGCAGAAATACTCTTTTGGAAAACAGTCAGGTAAGAGACTGTACTACTAAAAACTCAGTACTGCTATTGCCGATTTGAATCAAAAGCTTGCCAATTTTTTACCCACCAACTACCTTGAGGAATTAGACAAGAGCACAAATGTATAAGAATGTGCATCACAGTACGTGCTATGGTGAGTGCTGTGAATTGTGTAAGACTGATGAATCACAGACCTGTACCCCTGAAACAAATAATACATTAAAAGTTAATTTAAAAAAAAGAATGTGCACCACAATTTATGATGTTAAAAACCAAAACAACCTCAAAGTATATAAAATACGAATCTGTAATATAATTATTATATCCCTACAGTAAATGCTAAGTCACCATAAGGACCCATGCTGCAGCAGATTGATTGACTTGGAAAGATGGTTACAAGAGTGGAGGGAACATGGCAGTGTCAGACTTGGAACCATGTCCTTCGGCCACTGACCAACTGGGTGTCCTGGGGCAATCTTTTGGACCTCACTCCTACCCTTACTTCCTCCGGTATACAATCAAGGAGATAATGGAAATACAGTACTTAGCAATGAGATTAGCGTATAGAGATATTGAAGCTATTGACTTTACAAAGATATTGTTAGGTGCTATGGATCGAAAGTTTGTGTCCCCTCAAAATTCACATATTGAAACCATAATCCCAATGTGATGGTATTTTGGAGGTGGGACCTTTGAGAGGGAATTAGATCATAAGCGTGGAACCCTCCTGAATGGGATTAGTGCCCTCATAAAAAGAGGCCAGAGAAGCAGCCAGTTCTCATTCTGCCATGTGAGGATACAATGACAAGGTGGCTATCTGCAACCCAGAGGAGGACCCTTGCTAAAAACTGATCATGCTGGCACCTGGATCTTAGACTTCTGGCCTCCAGACTTTGAGAAATAGACTTCTGTCGTT